TCTGCTTTTATAGATGTGCTCACCCTTGTTAATGATCACTTAATCAAGTGCATTTGATTAGCAGCACCTGGGGGCTACTTACCTTCTTATTTCCTATGGGAAAAGTAAGGCTGCACTTAGTGCTTCTGCATTTTGGCTTAAAATGTGTTAAACATGCCTTGTTTTGTAGTTCATTTGTGTTAAATTGATCCTGGATTACGTTTTCTAACAAAACACAATTAGATGTTCGTTTATTTATGAGTGAATTGTGCTCCCTTGTCACACATAGTTGTGATCGTGATTCAGATTTAGTAATATAAGACATAATTATTATAACAAAACAGACTCATCACAATGGGGAAATCTTTTTGGCACACATTAATTTGTAGAAAACTACTTCTGATTGTCTGTTGAGCAGCAATTCTACAGATGCCAGTTTTTTCATTTGTATTAAGATTATTTTTTTATTCTTTTTTTCTTATAATTTAAATTTTTTTACTTTTTTTTTTCTTTATACTAAACTCTCCTGACAGAAAAATGAGCCATCATAACCCCATATAAAAGACCTACTTAGCAAAGCTAACACTTCTTTATCCAGTCCCTATTAAAATGTAACGATCCTTCAAAAAAGACAAGGATACATATCGTTTGTGTGTGCGCATTGTGCTTTTTCATTACTTGATTGAGTTTCTGAAGTGATCCTCTGCAGGGTTTTTCACAGTGCAGCTGTTGAGCAACCACACGTCTGCTTCTGTCGGGTCATCTACAAAGAGAGACAACGCATTTTATTTTTGCAGACTGGAAAAGCAAACGTAGCATTACAATGTTATGAGTACCCAAGATGAAGCCAACACACAGAAAAAAAAACAAACCGAAACGCATATACATGAGTCAAGCACAAAGCACATGGCATCCTAAAAGATGAAGAAGTGCTTAATTAGTCTCTGGTGGAACTCCTTTGCGTCTGAATTCCACAGTGAGTCAGTTTGTACTCACAAAATGATCCAATGTGTGTCGGTAATTTTAACCCCATGTAAATTCCCACTTCTCTATGTTGTGAAAACTAGAATTAGAGCGCACTGGAAAAAGTGTCTCTGACAAAACATGGTTGATTCCCGTGTCCACTTAGCATTTTCTGCACTTTCATATATATAGCTTATATAATATACCAAGTATACAACTA